TTTTAATTTTTAAAAATTACAAAAGAGAAAAAGAGTTTTTAAAACCGTCTAAGGTATGTTAAATAGATGAATAAAAATATTAATATAAAACTTACAGCTACTTGTTACAAATCCAAATCAGATTCAGAAGATGAACTTTCAGAACCAAGATTTATAATAACTGGCTCGATCATTTTATCAGTAATATTGTTCAGCTTCCACATTTTTTCCTCTTCTTTAATAGTGTGATTTACTGCCTTTTCCCAGTTTTCAGGTTTTACATTATTTACGGCCTCCAAAAACAACTGTTTAACATCATGAATTTTAAAAGTGGTATTTTTTCTTGAAAATTCACTCTTTATCTGTGCCCATACCAGTTCAATCGGGTTTAATTCACAATGATATGGTGGGAATCTAAGTACTGTCATTCCACGATTTTTGGCAATTTCATCATTTCGTATTTTTTAAATTTTTCTTTATGAAGGGCACACAACGAATAAAGTTCCTTTCTTATAGATCCGGGATGGTACGTAATATTTTTTGAACTCAGCTAATTCTGCAAGTCTTTTTTTAAACACTTGGTTGTGGGCAGTCCTTCTATAAATCTGGAGTGATAACTTGCATTATCCATTACTATTACACAGTTCTTAGGAAGAAGATCTATCATTTGTTCGAACCATTCTTGAAAGACATCAGCGTTCATGTCTTCATGGTAGTCACCGGTACGAGTTGATTCAAAAGTTAATAAACCACCTTCAACAAAACCGTCTGAACTGCCAATGTGTACTATTATCAGCCTGCGTCCTTTTCCTGATGGTGGGTTTAAACCAGTAGATAAGTTATTTACAAAAGCATGCCTTTGACTTGTAACAGTTTCATCCTGCCAAAATTTATTTGGTGTATGACCCTCGTTGATCCATGTTTCACCAAGATAAAATATTTTTCTTTTTTGGTTTCTCATTTCCTTTATGGTTCTTAGAAAATGTCTTCTCCATATGACAATATCGCTTCTTTCTAATAAAATAGACTTTCTGGGATTCTTTTTCCAGCGGAAGCCTATTTCTTTTAAAAGTTTCCATAACGTACTTCGACTCATTTCTGGGTAATCCTTATCATCTCGAACTGAGACAAGAACTTTATCCAATTTTGGAATTTCTTGTCTAAAGAAGAATTCATGCACTTTCCGTCGAAGTCCTTCTTTAAAATGATATTCTATTTGAAATTTTGGTTTCCCTGGAGCATTACGTGGCATTTGAAAACTACCACATTTCTCTTCTTTAATAACTCTGTAAATCGTAGATTTCCCAACACCAAGTGTACTGCTAACTAACTCAACGGTCTCATCAACACTTTCACATAAACGTTTGTCTGTAAATGATTTAAACAATTAAATATCAATGTTTTTTCATTAACTGTTAAAGGACCAATTTTTCGGCGTTTACACGGCACTTCCAAATTTTCCATAACACTAGTATACACAATAAACTGCACCTTTCAACTGAAGTACCTACTTTTAGTGAACTGTTAAGAATTTTGAATACGCCACTTGGACCTTCCTACAAAATGGAAAAACCTACTATCACATTTTCTGTGGAATAAGTTTAGAAGGTAATTATCTAGTCAATTACTGTCGTAGATTCCTGGAATTAAATGTTTGATTGTTGAAACCCTTACTTCGTGGAATGCACTCATTTCAGATAAAATAAAACGTTTTATTTTATCTAAAGAATTAAACTTTATTTTGCAAATAGGTAGGTACCTATTAAACTTTTATTGGTTATATATAACCAATAAAATAAACATCTTACATTTCTTGCAAATTCATTAGTACCTTTTAACCTCCATCACTCCGACACTGGCAACCTTATTTAGGGATTAGTAACCCTCACAACTATTGTATTCTATTCTGCTCCAACCTTTATACCTGGTGGTCATACTCAATTTAAAATTGTTTTCCTATATACTTCTGTAAACTTGTTGACAAATATCTATTTTTCATTGAGTCACCCGTATCAACAGTTTAGGGATTTGCATACATAATTTATTGTTTTATTACTCTCTCATACATAAAAATACACTATAATATTAAATTGTTATAATTTCTGTCCGTAATAATACAACAAAAAATATTTCAAAATTTTCAACACAGGGCATTACCTATGTAGTAACTATGGTGTAGTGATAAGAATTCTCTTTTTAACTTAATTTAGACAGTGAAAAATCCATAATTTTGTAAACTGAAAAAATCAGGTAAATATTACACCGATAAAACTAATAATTAGGGTCAGCTGATAACAGCTATATAAGCAAGTGGACTACCCAAAAATTATTTGCGACTTTGCCGGCTTTCAAATAAATTATATTTAACTCGGAAATCAAAATAAAAAGAGAGTAGTAATTGAAGTCCCGATAACGAATAGAGATCCCACAGGAAGACTGGCCTTTTGACGCTTTCGAGGGGCTTCTAGTTCGAAACTACAGGAACTAGAACGAACGGAAACCAACAATGTGTTAGTGACAATAACGAATATGATATGTATAATAGCCAAAAAACGAGTAGAAGTAAAAGTGGAAAAAATCTAAAGGAAAATAAGACGGATCTAGCACTAAAAATGTTAGAAAAACTTACTGATAATGTAAGGAAACTAAGTGTAGATGTCGAAGAAATAAAGTTAGAACTACAAACGTGGCAAATGGAACACAAAGTTATGAAAGAAAAAAAATAAAGTCGAAATGAAAAGAATAGAAATGCTAAAAAAAACATTAGAAAGAAGAACCTAGTAATACACGGAATAGAGGAAGAACAAGGAGAAGATTATAGAGAACTTAAGAGCAAAATCCAAATATTAATACAAAAACTAAGAATTCAGAGTCAGACCCGGAACAAGTAATGACTGAATTAAAACGAATGGAAGATCAAGACGAAAAAAAAAACGGACCGATATTGATGAAAATAAAAAGAGAAAATAAGAAAACAGATATACTGAAACAGTTCAAATATCCTAAAGGAACAAAAATATATAAGTGAAGACATACCAAAGCAAGTAATGGTTGAAAGAAAATAACTTGTCAAAAACAGGAAAAAAGCAAGACAAAAGGGCTATCGGGCAAAATCAAGATACTATGGATAAATGGAGAAAGGTACTCGCTCAATCAACTTCAAAGCTATGATATACACGAAGCGGTAAAAGAAATGTGCACAATGGGAAAAACAACTGTAGAACACAGCTCTCATGGAAAGCCCAAGTAGAGAAGGTAAACTAGGGAAAATAATAAAGATAACTAATACTTCAAAAAACTAAGGAAGAATACAGCAACTAATAAAAATAAGAAACGAAAATTGGCTCTGAATAAGGAAAAGATAGTACAGAGTGCAAGAAAAAACAATAAACAAAACAATCGAAATAAAAGAAAACCAACAGAATACGAATAGAAATAAGGACTATTATTACTCTATTAAGAAGAGCTGATGAATGAGACGGAAAAGTACAAGATCGAAATCTTAGCGTTACAAGAAATTCGAGGTACAGATCAAGAGGCAAGAGTAAAAAATAAACTAGGCGATTTGAAAGCATTGATAGGAAAGGAATACATAAACAATGACGTCTCTAGAAAGGAAACTCTCCACATAATTACGAATATTAATGGGAGAACGCGTTGCATCCTAGCAGCAGCAATAGACACATTTATAATGACCACACACTTCAAACGCAAAAAGAGCATAACATAACATGGCTAATACCTCAACTAAGGGCAATCATGAGGGACATATTTTGATTTAAAAAAGTGGAGAAGAACAATTTAAGTTGTCAGGTCATATTGGGGTGCAAATGTAGCTTCTGATCACTTCCTTGTAATAGAAAATATAAAAATGAAAATAATTAAAGACAAAAAGAAATACACAAAAAAATAGAGTGTAGGAAAACTCAGGTTGGAAATTATTCAGAATGATCTTTTTCTTTTTATGTAGACATGACTAGTTTTCTGGTGTTTTATGATATTTTTATTTGAAATTGGTCGAAAGTCATTACTTAGGAGGTTTTCAAGATCTGTTTCAAGATCAGGTTTCAACTGATTAACTACGAAGTGAGAGAACTTTTGAAAATATTTATCAAGGCACAGAGACTCAGATGGATAGGACATCTAGAAAGGAGAAATCCAGAATAAAGAAAATCACAAAATGGAGACCAGTATCAGATAGACAACGAGAAAGACCGGAAAAGAGATGGGAGAACCAGATAATTGTGGACCTTAAAAGATGGGAGTTAGAGAATGGAAAACCATAAGCAAAAGAGGAAAGAACGGAGAAATATTGTAGAAGACGCCAAGTCACACAATCAATTATAAGTTCAAAATATTAATGTGAACTGATTTCCCGTGACAAATGAATCGGAAGATCCCAAAAGAGTGCAGCAATCATTCCGCTGTGAGTATAGATGCTATGATGATGAAGTGTTTGAACATCCAAACTGCTGTAGCGAGATATCAAATTTTGTAGAAATATTTAATGTAGCAGTTTCTAATAATTTTTTTGAAATCAAATTGTTATGAATAATCAAAATTATAATGACAATATAAAAATTAAATATATAATTGAAATAATTTCGTTAAAGTAAACAAATTTGCATTTCTTTTGCTCATTTGACTAAGCTAGACACCAAACAATTTCAGAAACCCCAGGTATGTTAAACATTAAATATATAATTGAAATAATTTCAATAAAAGTAACTAAATTTACATTTCTTTTGCTCATTTGACTAAGCTAGACACCGAACAATTTCAGTAACCCCAGTTATGTTAAACAGGGTTTTATGGTGATATCAACTTGTTGCAATATATTTAACATTTATATTATGTGTGCAAGAATATTTAAAGTATTTGTTATTGCCGTCGATTATTTAAAAGAGAAATTTCAAAATATTCTAAAGAGTTTTAAATATTTAACGATTTATCGATAGTACTGGTCTACTTTTTCTAACAATTCGTGCAATGCATACAATTACAAACAATGAAAAACTTACATTCCTAGAACTTTCCAGAAACATCCGAAGGTACTACCGTTTGGCACTCGCCCCCCATACGTGACGGTCATTTTAATTTATCACAATGGGCTTAGCCCTTTTGCACTCACTTCACAAACACCATGTAACAACGATCCAACAAATGGTACCGTAGACGGACATCGAGAAGAAGCGCGATATCACCTCCGTTGTTGTTCATAGACTAACTAGCAAGCAATCGGGTTGTTAATCAACGGTGTAGGTGAACACAGGTGCATAGTGGGGTACTGGTTGCTGGGCAACGTGCATATTGGTACCATTTTATTATTGAATAAATGTTTGGCGTATGAACTGAGGAAGTGCTTGTTCTTGGTCTAACATATGTCTGATTTCACCGGTAGATCTGAAGCAACATCGAATTTTTTTTGTTAATCAAATAAGATTTTTTAGTAATTTATTTAGTTCTATCGCCTTCCTATTTGATTCTCATCTGGTCATCGATTATTGCAGATCATTCAACATCTTCTCCATCTATTTATAACTGATTTTGATTGATTATGAGGTCATTTGATAGAGCATGTCAAACAGCACAACCAAACAGCCAATATTAAAGTGGATGACCAATTGACAGAGGCAGTCTCCATAGATAGAGGAGTGAGGCAAGGATGCATTCTGTCCCCGATGTTATTTAATATGTACTCTGAATATATCTTCGAGCAAGCGCTGGGAGAACTACAAGAAGGCGTATTAGTCAACGGAATGCATCTAAACAACATTAGATATGCCGACGACGCAATAGTTTTTGCAGATAGTCTGGACGGTTTGCAAAAAATAATGTCGCGTATATCAGATATAAGTAGAGAACACGGACTTGATCTTAATACGAAGAAAACAAAGTACATGGTAGTCAGTAAACGCGAAATATTAAATACATAGCTTTTGGTTAACCAACATCCAATTGACAGAGTGGACAGCTACACATACCTTGGTACCAACATTAACAGCCAATGGGATCACTCCAGTGAAATAAAACGCATAGGAAAAGCGAGATCAGCGTTCATAATGATGAAGTCTCTTTTCAGAAGTCACGATTTACCACTTGCGACCAAAATCTCTCTCATTAGATGCTATGTATTTGTTACGTTATTATACGGAGTAGAGGCCGGGACACTTTCCGAAGTTTCTTTAAGAAAACTCCAGGTATTTGAGATGTGGTGTTACAGACGATTTGAGATCGTGTGACTAATGCTGAGGTCTTACGTAGAATAGGCAAGGAATGCGAGATTATTAACACCAACAAAGAGCGCAAACTAGAATATCTTGGCCATGTTATGAGCAATGAACAGAGATACGGCTTGTTGCAACTCATTCTTCAGGGCAAGATATTTGGAAAGAGGGGACCAGGGAGAAGAAGAATATCTTGGCTTCAAAACCTGAGAAAGTGGTTTAATACATCGACAACCGGACTATTCAGAATAGCAGCAAGCAAAGTTAGGATAGCCATGTTGATCGCCAATATCCGGAACGGATAGGCACCGTAGGAAGAAGAAGAATGGGATTATAGTATATACTCAATTATACAAGAAACACTGAAGAAAAAATTCAAGAAGCAGCCGACTCAGTATTATCAAGAAACAGACAATGTAAACAAACGGATTGGTATGATGAGGATTGTGAGAAAGCCATTAGTGACAGAAATAAAGCTAGAATAAATAGCATAATAAGAAATAATGAAGAGAGTAAAAAAGCTTATGCCGAAAAAAGACGGGAAGCAAAGAAGATCTGTAGAAGGAAGAAGCGTTCAAGTTTAGAGCAGAAACTAGTTCGTATTGAAGAAGATTTTTTACATAAACAAGTCAGGAATTTCTACCAAGAAATAAAACGAGACCGAACCCAGTACAAAACCACATCAAGATATTATAAAGATGAAGAGGGGAATCTGTTAGGTGGAACAGATGAAAAATTAAGAAGGTGGGCCAGTTATTTTGAGAACATATTATTATGTACGGACGACCAAGATGAAAGAGAACAAACGCAACTACAACATGAAGAAGTAAGGGACACAGATGTAAATGAAGAAGTACCTACCAAGGAAGAAATTATAGAGATCATAAAAAACTTAAAAAACAACAAAGCACCTGGTGAAAATGGTATCATTGCTGAGTTTTTAAAAGAAGGTGGCGAAATGGTACAAGAAGAAATCGCTGAGTTAATACGCGAAGTGTGGATCAAAGAAAAAATACCCAATCAGTGGAAAGAAGCAGTCTTATGTCCAGTGCATAAAAAAGGAGACGTTACAGAATGTAAAAATTACAGGGGAATAGCTCTACAAGATACAGTGTATAAGATTTTGGCCATATCAATTAGAAATAAAATTAAAACAAAAGTTGAAAATTGTCTAGGTGAATATCAAGCAGGTTTCAGAGCAAACAGATCGGTAACTGACCAAATTTTTACAATGAAACAAATTTTAGCTAGCTCATATGAATTCAACCTAACAGTACACATGCTGTTTATTGATTTTAGAATGGCATATGATACTATAAAAAGAAATAAAGTATATGAAGCACTAGAATATTTTGAATTTCCACCAAAAATAGTAAGACTGACTAAATGCATACTCAATGATACTAAAAGTAAAGTCATGTTAGAAGGACGGGTTTCGGATAGTTTTATCACCAATAGAGGTCTGCGACAAGGTGATCCGTTATCAACAGATTTTTTCAATTTGATCTTAGAGAAGATTTTACGAGAATGTAACATCTACACTAGAGGCACAATATATCATCACAGACATCAATGTGTAGCATATGCAGATGATGTTACCTTAATAACAAGGAGACCTGCAGAATTAAGAGAAATCTTTATTAGAATAGAGAGAATAGCCAGAGAATATGGTTTAGAAATAAACGAAGAAAAAACAAAATATATGGTGATGAGGGGAAACGAAAATCATCTAGGAGAGTCCTTTAAGGTACAAAGCCCAAGTAAAGAATATAACTTTGAAGTTGTTAGCCAATTCGACTACTTGGGAGTGACACTAACAAATAGGAACGAAGAGAACCAAGAAATCATAAAAAGAATGGCCAAAGGTAGTAAGAGTGCTGGGAGCCTGACTAAGATACTGAGGTCGAAGATAATATCCAGAACAGCAAAAAAACGAATATATACAACAGTTATCCGACCTACAGTACTCTATGCTAGCGAGACCTGGACACTAAATAAAGATATGGAAGTAAAATTAGATAGATGGGAACGAAAAATTCTTAGAAGGATATACGGAGGTGTAAAAGAGGGGAACATCTGGCGAAGAAGAACGAATGAAGAAATAATGCAAATATATGGACAACCAAAAATAACAAGACTCGCGAAAATTCAAAGATTAAGATGGCTCGGGCATATAGCAAGAATGAAGGAAGGAAGAGTTCCCAATGAATTAATAAACACGGAGGCTGGTACAAAAAGAAAAAGAGGCCGCCCCCGAAGAAAATGGCTGGAGTCGGCAAAAGAAGATCTGAAGTCGCTGCGGGTACAAGATTGGAAAAACTTAGCACAAGATAGAAAGAAATGGAAGAAAACCGTTGAAGCCTTGGGCCTTTGAGGCCTGTTGAGCTGAACTATATATATATATATATATATATATATATATATATATATATATAATATATATATATATATATATATATATAATACAAGAAACACTAGACAACGTAAACAATCAGAAAAACTGTATTGATGGACGACCTTAATGCCAGAACTGGAAGAAAAGATGTCTTGAATGATAATGAGATCCAGAATATACAAAAGAAAATGGAAAATGTTTTTAACAGAACGTTTTAAATTTTCTGGCTATGATATTCGACGAATTAAATTTATTAAGATGCTTAGCAAATAAGTCTTGAGGATCTAATGGTCTGATGCTACCAAGAGCTACTACTTTAGAATGTGCACATGGAAGTTTATTTGCGGCTGGGAAACTTGACAACACAATTCAAGAAATGAAAAGAATAAAAATGGATCTACTGGAAATCAACGAAATGAGATGGCCAGAGTCAGGATCATGTAAAAAGGACGGATATGTGACCAATTTCGTACCAGTCTCGGATAGAATAATATTACTCCAAATAAATAATCAACCATTTAAAACTAACATACTTTAAATCTATGCTCCGACTGCAGATAGAATGACGATAGGACGATGAAGTCGAGAAGTTGTATGATCAGATCCAAGGCATCTTATAGAAACTTAATAAACACGAAATTTTATATATTATAGGCGACTTCAATGCAAAAATTGGGAAAGGTCGACGAGGTCAGACTGTAGGTGCTTATGTTCTAGGATAATCTAACGATCGAGGACAGAGATTGTATGAATTTTGTAAAGAAAACGATATGATCATTGCAAACACCTGGTATAAACTAACCAAGCGACGACCATACACTTGGAAAGTCCCATTTGATAATGGCAATAACCCTGAGTCCTCAAGAAATAAAATAGACTATATACTTGTAAATGAGCGTTTCCGAAATGCCGTAAAAAAAATTACTACATTTCCTGGGATATCTGATTGGATCTGATCATCAACCACTTGTAGCAGATATTAAACTAAGGTTAAAACGAATTTAGCGACAAAAACCAAAAACCAATGTACTTAACTTTGACGATATAAACATAAAACATAACATTAAAAAAGAATTTAACAATAGAATAAAAAACATCGAAGAACAACTAGAAGATCCAGAAGAACTATGGAGTGAATTTAAAAACCAAGTTAACGAAATCTCCACAAATAATGATTATAGAAAAAATTTAATCAAGAAAAATAAATGGATGACAGGCGATATCTTGAAATTAATGGAACAACGTCGACTGATAAAATCTAATGTAACAGAATAGAGACACCTACAAAGAAGAATAAAAAAGGAGATCAAATTAGCCAAACAAAAATGGATGAGAGAAAGGTGCCACGAAATGGAGGATGTAATATCTAAACACGACTTATTTAATGTGCACAAAAAACTAAAAGAAATGATAACATATTTAAAAAACGCGTTCTCTCTGTACTCGTTGACAATAATAACAAAATTATTGTATCTGAGCACGAAATAACAAAATAATGGCAACTGTATATATCAGAGTTGTTTGAAGATGAGAGGAATAATATTGCCGAATTCTACCAAACCTGTACTGACGGCCCCGAAATTATG